GTAAGTAGCTAAGATAAAACAAAGCACTAAACGAGTCAGCTCTGGTCGAACAGAATTTTATCCTATGATGAAAAAAGCTATACAATTGAATTATGGAACAAAAAAAAAAGGATTTAGTGTTTCTTATAAGATTCACCATTAAGGTGCATAATATTTTAAAGGAACCTGATAACTCTTTATGACAATTCAGCAAACAATTTTAAAATTAAAACTTATTAATGCGAATTCAGAGAAGCAAATCTAATATAAAACATGGGTGCTTATTTTTAGAGATGATACCAAATGTTGGTAGTGCTTAATTTTAGAATTAGATAGTATTTAACTGATTTCTAACTCACTTTGAGAATACTAATACGGAGGTTAAATATAGGGATGACAACAGCAGCTTAGCTGACTGGCTATCTCATAATCCAGTGATCCAAATTAGGTGATTTTAGTACTATTCAATTCGTCTCATTAAGACAAATCAAATGGTACTAAAATTACTCAATTTGGATTACTTGATCACGAAATAGCAGGTCGGCTAAGCCGACAATAGTCAGCTGTTACCCATCCCTAGTTAAATAATATAATAAAAATTACATGATTACAGAAACTCGAGTTTAACAAGTTCAGGTTTCAAACAGATAAACAGAGTTCGGACAAGTAGGATAAAATCTCTAATTAAAGTAGTTTCACATGGAGAGATTCATTTTATTTCTAAAAATTTTAATTACTTAGACTCAATGAACTTAAAATTAGCCTCTTATTATAGAAGCTGAACAAACAGAGTAGAAGGTAATTCATATACCAACTCCAATTGATTAAATTAACTAATTTTTATGAATATAATATAGCTAAAGTTATGAAGGGTTATTAAAAAAATCTTACAAGATATATATGATTTTAAATTATTAATTATTAATTGTGAATACTTACAAAAAGCTATTGAATATGCATATATTCAGGCATATAATCTCATACAACAAAAAGTAGGTGATGTTAAAAACTTTTTATACTGATTCAAAAAATTGATACTGTAAAAAAATTGAAGCATAGAAGGAACAAATAAAAATAAAATTTAAAATATACTTTTTTTGAAAAAAGAAAGTATCAGGAAATAAAAGTGGGTTAAAGCATTTCTGTAAACAATAGTAATCTCCAACCATTCAATAAGGTAGAAATTAGTACACATACCTTTGAATTTGCATAAAATTTTTTTTGATAAAAAAATTTCATTAGAATTTTTTTCACATAAATTTTTTTGATATTAACTGTCAGAATTTTGTAATCAAAAATTTTGGATATAGATTACTT